AAACTAATATACCAAGAGGTTAAGTAACTTGCCCAAGTAGCTTTCACTTACACAGCTTAAAAAAAAAAAAAAAAGGTCCAGTTCTACTTGTAGCCACAATCTGAGCTCTAACCAATGGGCTATACTACTGACAAGGGAAAAAGCTGGCCCAGACATAATCCAATCTTTGTACCTTTGAGTTAAAAGTCTACAGTTGAGGCCAGGCGCGGTGGCTCAAGCCTGTAATCCCAGCACTTTGGGAGGCCGAGAAGGGCGAAACACGAGGTCAGGAGATTGAGACCATCCTGGCTAACATGGTGAAACCCCGTCTCTACTAAAAAATACAAAAAAACTAGCCAGGTGAGGTGGTGGGCGCCTGTAGTCCCAGCTACTCGGGAGGCTGAGGCAGGAGAATGGCGTAAACCCGGGAGGCGGAGCTTGCAGTGAGCCTAGATGGCGCCACTGCACTCCAGCCTGGGTGACAGAGCGAGACCCCGTCTCAAAAAAAAAAAAAAGTCTACAGTTGAGGCTGGGCCCAGTGTCTCATGCCTGTAATCCCAGAACTTTGGGAGGCCAAGATGGGTGGATCACCTGAGGTCAGGAGTTGGAGACTGGCCTGTCCAACATAGTGAAACCCTGTCTCTACTAAAACACAAAAATTATCCAGGCTTGGTGGCACGCACCTGTAATCCCAGCTACTCAGGAGGCTGAGGCAGGAGAATTGCTTGAACCTCGGAGGCGGAGGTTGCAGTAAGCCGAGATTGCGCTGACAAAGTGAAACTGTCTCAAGAAAAAATTAAGGCTGGGTGCTTGGATCTCACGCCTGTAATCCCATCACTTGGGGAGGCCAAGGTGGGCAGATCACCTGAGGTCAGGAGTTCGAGACCAGCCTGGCCAACATAGTGAAATCCTGTCTCTACTAAAAATTCAAAAATTAGCCAGGCATGGTGACACATACCTGTAATCCCAGCTACTTGGGAAGTTGAGGCAGGAGATCTGCTTGAACCTGGGAGGCAGAGGTTGCAATGAGTGAGCCGAGGTTGTACCACTGCACTCCAGCCTGGTCAACAGAGCAAGACTCCATCTCAAAAAAAAAAAAGAAAATTAGCTGGATGCGGTGGTGCAAGTCTGTAATTCCAGCTACTCAGGAGGCTTAGGCAGGAGAATTGCTTGAACTCGGGAGGCAGAGCTTGCAGTGAGCCAAGATTGTGCCACTGCACTCCAGCCTGGTGACAGAGTGAGACTCCATCTCAAAAAAAAAAAAAAAAGAAGTGTTTGAGGCCAGGCTTGCTGGCTCAGGCCTGTAATCCCAGCACTTTGGGAGGCAGAGGCAGGAGGATCACCTGAGGTTGGGAGTTTGAGACCAGCCTGGCCAACATGGTAAAACCCTGTTTCTACTAAAAATACAGTGTATGAGGTGGTGCATGCCTATAATCGCAGCTACTCGGGGAGGCTGAGGCAGGAGAATCACTTGAACTGGGTCGGGGGTGGGGTGCGGAGGTTGCAGTAAGCTGAGATCAGGCCACTACACTTCAGGAAAAGAAAAAGAAAGGTCTGTTAGCAGCACATAAAGCCATATGTCTGTAGAGATTAAACCTCCCCACAACTGATGGCTTCATGCTCCAAATTGTACAATATTCTGCTTATCTCTCTTCACTAGTCCATAGAACGCTGCTTTATAATTTATCAGTTTTCCTATCTGTGCTTCCACAAGCCAAATGGTTTCAACATTGTTTTTTTTTTTTTTTTTTCTGGGGATGGGGGAGTCACAGACTTGAGTATATAATGAAAACGATGGATGTTTTCCCCAGAAAAATGCACTCACACACACAACAAATTTTGAGTATAGTTTCAGAGACCTCCATCTGCATCCCAAAGTAAAAACCTCTACCCAAAACAGTGTTTTTCTTTAGGGCACAGAGCTTGTCTTTGCGGTGTGTGTGTGTGTTTGTTTTTGGAGACAGAGTGTTGCTCTTGTCACCCAGGCTAGAATGCAATCTTGGCTCACTGCAACCTTCACTTCCCAGGTTCAAGCGATTATGCTGCCTCAGCCTCCCGAGTAACTGGGATTACAGGCGCACACCACCACTCTGCTAATTTTTTTATTTTTAGGAGAGAGGGGGTTTCATCATGTTGGCTGTGCTGGTTTCGAACTCCTGACCTCAGGTGATCTGCCCACCTCAGCCTCCCAAAGTGCTGGGATTACAGGCATGAGCCGCCGCACCCAGCCTTTTTAAAATTTTTAAATTTTTTATTTATTTTATTTTTGAGATGGAGTCTCACTGTGTTGCCCAGGCTGGAGTGCAGTGGCGAGATCTCAGCTCACTGCAAGCTCTGCCTCCCGGGTTCATGCCATTCTCCTGCCTCAGCCTCTGGAGTAGCTGGGACTACAGGCGCCCACCACCACACCCAGCTAATTTCTTTCTGTATTTTTGGTAGAGACGGGGTTTCACCGTGTTAGCCAGGATGGTCTCGATCTCCTGACCTTGTGATCCGTCCACCTCAGCCTCCCAAAGTGCTGGGATTACAGGCATGAGCCACTGTGCCCGGCCCAGCCTCTTATTTTTATTTTTACTGTTTTTTGAGACGGAGTCTCACCTTATTGCCCAGGCTAGAGTGCAGTGCTGCAATCTCGGCTCACTGCAACCTCTGCCTCCCGGGTTCGAGTGATTCTCCTGCCTCAGCCGCCCAAGTAGCTGGGATTACAGGTGTCTGCCACCACGCCCAGCTAATTTTTTGTATTTTTAGTAGAGACGGAGTTTCACCATGTTGGCCAGGCTGGTCTTGAACCAGCCTCTTACTCTTCTACATACTATTTCCAGCACAACTGTCCAAGATGGCAGTCAATAAATATTTGGCTAAATATAATAAATAATCCGGTTGATTATTTCCACTTTTTCACATTGGGTTGTCAAAGTCTACTTTTCAAACAGTAAAGTTAACTTTTCTCTCTCTAGTATTTGTTTTGTAGAATCTATTATACTTTGTAATGTAATCCACAGAAACTTGGAGGTGACTTTATACTAGTTTTGAATGATATCCATGCTGAGGTGCTCAGAGGTTGAATGTACTTATATCGATGGGTGGATATATGGATGCACGTGTGATAAAGCAAATATAGGGAAAATTAATTGTAGAATCTAGGTAGTGGGTACATGGTTGTTCACTGTACAATTGTTTCAACTTTTCTACATGTTTGAAAAATTTCATAACACATTGGAAAAGTGACTTGTTTTGTTCAAGCAGGGATACATTCAGTCTTCCGTTCTTGAAGGATATAAATCTGTCATTCCTTCTGTTTGGAAAGTTCTTTAGAGAGTCTGAATAATTCCCACAGTACAGTCTAAACCAGCACACAAGGGTTTTTTGGTGGAAAATAATTTTATTAACAGAACCAGGCAATTTACCAAATACAACATAGATAGCTCAAAACATGGAGTTACTGCGCTGAAAACGTGACCCTGTTACACGGATTTCGGGAGGAAGAGTATAAAACAGGAGAGAAGGCCGGGTGCGGTGGCTCACGCCTGTAATCCCAGCACTTTGGGAGGCCGAGGCGGGCAAATCACGAGGTCAGGAGATCGAGACCATCCTGTGAATGGTGAAACCCCGTCTCTACTAAAAATACAAAAAATTAGCTGGGCGCAGTGGCGGGCGCCTGTAGTCCCAGCTACTTGGGAGGCTGAGGCGGTAGAATGGCGTGAACCTGGGAGGCGGAGCTTGCAGTGAGCCGAGATTGCGTCACTGCACTCCAGCCTGGGCGACAGAGCGAGACTCCATCTCAGGAAAAAAAAAAAAAAGAAAAAACAGGGAGAAAAGGAGTAAGATTTGTGGTTGTAGCGTCATCGCAGAGGTGAAGTGTTCCATTGATTGCAACTGTGGTAGTCTACATCAGTTTCCCTCATTAAGGTGGGAGGAATCTACTAAGCAAATGTACGCCTTCCCCATTCGTTAGAAACACATTGCAGTAAAACTGCAGAAGTGGCCGAGCGTGGTAGCTCACGCCTGTAATCCCAGCACTTTGGGAGGCTGAGACGGAAAGATCGCCTGAGGCCAGGAGTTCGAAGCCAGCCCGGGCAACAGAGTGAGACATCCCCGCTTCTTTATTAAAATGAGATTTAAAATTTTTTTCTCTTCAATTCATCGGTAACAAGATAAAAAAATTAATAAAAAATTAACTTTTTAAAACATTTAAAGTAAAGTGGGAGTGGAAGCGGTATGTGGACTCATGGGGCTCGGGTCTGAATCATACCTAGATCGGCACTGCGAAATGGGGATAATGATGATCTCCTAGAGCTGTTGAAATAGGAAAATGGAGGAGCAGCAGCTGATGTATTAATATTATCATTATTATTATTATTACCCATTACCTGACAAGTTATAATTGTGACATGAAAGAGGCTGGCCCAGTTGTCTGAACAATTTTTTTCCCGTCTATAATTCGGCGGGAAGGTCTGAGACAAACACCTCTGCTTAGATCAGTGCCTTCTCCGAGCAGGGTTCACCAAGCAGCCCCCAAACCCAAAGCCCCCAAGTCCCTGGGCGCCGAGGACGCTGTGAGTCCTGCGCATGTGCAAGGGTGCTCGCTCGCTCACCGCCTTCGTGGCGAATGGCCTGTTCCATTCTCGAGGGATGACGGCGGGAGGGGAGGCGGGAGACTTAGAAGCCTGGGTCCGGAAGTGCAGGTGCGTCACTAGTATTTCCAGCCTTTCACTCCATGAATAGTACTTTGTGATTATTATACTTCTACCTTGTTGATTCCGACAGGCTGCTGGGAAGAGTGAGTTTGGTGAACAATCCACCGGGCATCCTCCCCTTTTCACCTACGCACGTTAAGGAGGGCCGGCGTGAGGCCCAGGTACGGAATCCCAGAGGGCTCCGCCCACCTCGATGGGGCCCCGCCCCGCCGCCCCGCCGCCCCTCAACCCGCAGGTTCGCCAGCCCGCGGCTCCGCCGGGCAGCTCCTCCTCCTCTCCGCCCCGCCGGCCACGGGCGCGGAGGACGTCAGCGCTGCCAGCGTGGAAACAGCGGCAGGGCGCGGGAGGAGGAAGTAGCGCCCGGGACCGCTGGGCCACCACCGGCCGCCTCAGCCATGGACGCGTCCCTGGAGAAGGTCCGTACCGGGAGGGGGCGATGGGGACGGCGCTGCGGCCCGGGGCTCCCGCCTCCGAGGCGACTGTTTGCCAGTCTCAAGCTGCCATTGTGACCCGGGCAGGGGGACGCGGGCTGACGGGCCCCGCCTGAGGAGGCCTCGCCAGGAGGGCGGCTGGGGCCTGGGCGCGTCACGGGACCGGGTGTCTCTCGGGTCCCCGTGGGCCGAAGAGGCTGGGCGGGGTTCCGTGGGGGCCGTGAGGGGCCCGGAGCCCAGAACTGGGACCGTGGGGCCGACCTTGGGCCCTGCCGAGGTTCCGTGCGTGGCCGGCCTGAACTCGGCTGGCCCTTTCGGAGGACTGGGAGCTCTCCGTTGGCGACCCCAGATGCTCCCGGAAAGAACCCGCAGTTATTTCGGAGCCAGCTGCAAACCTGTAGGTTTTTCTTGGTCTCCAAGTTAGGAATGAAAATTGCTAAAGCAGTGGTTTTCCAACTTCAGCCTGCGTGGGAATCACCTGGGGCCTTTGGTAAAATGTGGAGGTTCAGTCCCGGGGTCAGAACCTCTGGGGGCGGGACCGAGATCTGCATGTTTAACCGCCACCGTCCCCCTCCCACTCCGCCCCACGAAGGTGATTCCGATGCTAAGCCTGCGAACACCGGGCGAGAACCTCTATGAGTTCCAGAAAGGAGTGGGTATTGCGTAGATTGCGAATTGAGTTTCAGGGATCGCAGCTGGTCCACAACTTCCTGGCTCCCCCTTTCCAGTGGCGAGGAGATATCCCCGAGTCAACTCCAAATCCACTGGTAACAGAGCCTACCTCTGATTTCCTTTTAGGGGAACGGCAGCGTGGTGTACCTGGCTGACTGCTCTACCATGTGAAACGGATTCTCATTGTCCCAGTGTTAGGGCTTGTAAATGGGAACCGGTTTGGGTTTCTTCATGGATTCCTGCTTTCGGTACCTGACATTCTGCCCTCCCTCAAAGCCCTTCTCTCTGTTCCAGCTTGGGAGTCAGCTTGTCCAGTCCAGTGCACACCCGGCTTTTCATGCATGTGGCATTCAGGAGCAATGCTAGTGTTTTAAGACGGCTACATTTGAATTTTGAGCTGGTAGGAATAATATATTTTGTCTTTTTTCAAGGCAGCAGCTGCTGTAGATTTGTTCACTTGTCGCTGGAGAGTTGAAGGCAATAATTGTAAAAGGCCAGATGTCTTCATGTGCTCATAGTGGTGTGGCCTACTCCTTGGTTGCTTAGCATACATTGGGTGGAAGACAAGAAAAAGATAATATGGTTTTCTTGTGCCATCTCTGGAGTGAATGTTATGTGTTTTCCTGGCTGGGAATAAAGTCTTTACGGTCTTCTGATTAGCAGAGTGTCTACCTTTTGGTACTTTGAGTTTGTCCAGATGACTGGTTCTTAAAGCAGGGGGCAATTTATTTCCCCAGGGGACATTTGGCTATCTCTGGGCATATTTTTGATTGTCACAATGGGGGCAGGGAGGTGCCACCGGTACCTAGTGGGTAGAGGCCAGGGACACAGCTAAACATCCTGCATTGCACAGGACAGCTCCCGATGCTGGATAATTCTCTGGCCCAAAATGTCAGCAGTGTTGAGGCTGAGAAATCCTGGTCAAGATCATGTTTATACCACCAGCAGTTGAGTACTAAGTGATGCAAAGTGGTGTTTTCAATTGCCTAAGAAGGTGGATGGGCTTCATGTGATTGTAATTGGAATCCTAAAGAACTGGGATGATCTTTCCTCCAGGAGTAATTAGCCTTTATAGGAAAATCTGCAGAGTGGGTCGGAATCCTGCTTTAAATACTACTTTTCTGGCATTTGATCAGTAGATTACAGTGGTTGCTCCCTAAGTGTTAATTGATGATAAAATATCTTAAACTCAATGAAGGTATCAAGAGGGACTGCAATTCCAGTGTGTTTAATATTGGAGCTTTCACAAAAATTGCAGTGATCTTTTAGGAATTCAGAACATGTGGGCTGGAAGTTTCTGCCTTAGGTCAGTGTGAAAATTCTGAGTGTAAGTTTTTCAGAACTATGACTGGGACTTACTTTTTTTTTTTTTTTTTTTTTTTTTTTTTTTGAGATAGAGCCTCGCTCTGTTGTCCAGGGTGGAGTGCAGTGGTGCCATCTCGGCTCACTGCAACCTCCGCCTCCCAGATTCAAGTGATTCTTCTGCCTCAGCCTCCTGAGCAGATGTGACTACAGGCTCATGCCACCACACCCGACTAATTTTTGTATTCCCAGTAGAGACGGGGTTTCACCTTGTTGGTCAGGCTGCTCTCAAACTCCTGACCTTGTGATCCGCCCGTCTCAGCCTCCCAAAGTGCTGGGATTACAGGTGTGAGCCACTGCACCTGGCCGGGACTTACGTTTATATTCCCTGAAGTAATAGAGGGTCTTAGATGGAATGAACAATTTATGTTGGTGCTAATTGGGCAGAAAAGAAAAAGCATTGCTATGATGTGAGTGTTGATGACTTTATGTTCTGAAAAATAGTCTGAGTCAAAGTGAAACATGTAACTGTTCATTATTCCTGTTTCTTTGAGGAATAGACTATGCTGCGTTAAATTCTACATTGTTAGTATAAACTCGAGAGCTATGTGAGCAGTTATGAACCCATTTAAACTGATCCTTGCATAATTTATACTGATTACAGAAACCACAATGTTATTTGATACTCACCCTCTAAAATTTAAAATCACATCCCTCACTTTAAAATGTAGTATGTGAAAAAAAAAATGTAGTATGGGATCATCATTTAGTAGAATCACTTGATGATTGGGATTTGGTCCAAATATAATTCTGTCCCTTGCTTTTTCTGTTGATGTATAAACTTGCAGACCTGTGATGGCAGAGCCATTTTCTTGTCATGATTTGCTTTTCTTTCACAACAGTATCAGTTTTGTTGTATCTTAAATAATGATGTCCCAATAAATCAGATGATCAGGTGGGTTAATTGAGGAGGCAAGGAATTCAAACTAGGAGAGTAGCAGTAGGGGCTTTGCCCCTGCCCTCCACTATATGTTCAAGGCATAAGGAACAAGGCCCTGTAGCAGAGCCTCACAGTGTGTACTTATGTTAATATTCAATAAAGAAAATGCCACAGGAAGTAATCACTATAATGATGAAGATTTTAAGTTATTAAACACATACACCTTTCAGTAAAAACCTGTTACATTATTATTTTTGAGAGAGGATCTCTCTCTGTCACCGAGGCTGGAGAGCCGTGGTACAGTCTCGGCTCACTGCAACGTCCGTCTCCAGGGCTCAAGAGATCCTCGTGCCTCAGCCTCTTGAGTAGCTGGGACTACAGGCATTCACCCCCACGCTGAGCTAATTTAAAAAATTTTTTTAATCGAGACAAGGTCTCACTATATTGCCCAGGCTGGTCCCAAACTCCTGGGCTCAAGCCGTCCTCTTGCCTTAGCCTCCCAAAGTGCTGGAACTGTAAGCATGAGCCACCATGCCAGGTCAAAACCTGCTACTCTAAACTTGTAGAATAGCCCAGACCTTTTTCTGTTGGTTAAGAAATCTCATTCTTCCTGGGTATTATGTTTAGACAAGGTATGCTACAGTTTGTTTTGCATTTACTTTAATTCTATCCTTGAGCAAACTTAGAGCAGTTTCTCAGCGTCCGCACTACTGATATTTTGGGTCAGATAATTCGCTGTTGTGGGGGCAGGCCTGTGCATGGCAGCATGCTTAGCAGTGTCCCTGACCTCCACTCAGTAGATGCTAGTCGCACTCCCTACCCCCAGTTGTGACAATAAGAAATGTCTCCAGATGGAGGCAGCTGTCCCCCAATGGGTGGAGGGAATTGCCTCTGGTTGAAAGTCCCTAATTTAGGGAATCTAGAGCTACAGTTCCAGTTTGGTAGCCACTAGCCATATTTGGCAGTTTACATTGAGATTAAGATTAAACACAATTTAACATTCCTTTCCTCAGTCATGCTGGCCACATTTCAAGTGTTCAACAACCACATGTGGCTAATGTCTGCTACATTGGGCAGCACAGATGTGGAACATTTCCATCGCCAAAGAAGGTTCCACTGAACAGTGCTAAGAGCTGGCAATTTTTTTCTTTTTTTGAGATGGAGTCTTGCTCTGTTGCCGAGGGTAGAGTGCAGTGGCACAGTCTTGGCTCACTACAACCTCTGCTCTCCGGGTTCAAGCGATTCTTCTGCCTCAGCCTCTCAAGTAGCTGGGATTACAGGCGCCCACCACCACACCTGGCTAATTTTTGTACTTTTAGTAGAGATGGGATTTCACCAAATTGACCAGGCTGATGTCAAGCTCCTGACCTCAAATGATCCACCTGCCTTGGCCTCCCAAAGTGCTGGGGTTACAGGCGTGAGCTACCGTGCCCAGCCAATTACTTGTTATATCTAATTCTCATCTCTGAAAGAGGCAACTTTGACCCTGTTTCTGACCTCAATCAGCACAACTCATTCCATTTTTGGTTCTTGAACTCATCCTGAGCTAAGCGTTTCTTTCCTCCTATTTGGGCCTAATTTTAGAAAATTCTTTGTCACCTTGCTGTTATGCTGGAGGTTTATAGCAGCATCAATAGAACATTCCTGATCATTACTTACTGATAAGGACTCTGATAATTTCTATTCCTGCTCCTTCCTTAAAAAGCATGAGAAAGGAACCCCTGTTAGGCAAGGTTGAAATGACCAGTTTCTGTGTATGGCTTTGTAGATCCCACTCTTTTATATAGAATGGCAGGAGATGAGAAGCTGTAATTGTAGCTTTCATATAAAGCCAAGTGCAATGTTATAATGTGAGGGTTTTGCATACAGGTGCATGGTGACTAAGGCTGTAAATGATTATCTAATACTGGCTGTCAGGGAAAACTGATAGGACTCAGCCATAGTACAAAGTTCCTGATACTAGATATTTATGGCTTTGTTCTTTCTTGATTTATTCAAGATTTCAGGGGAAGTCAGTGGCAGAGCTATTGATGGTCCCTATTTCCGTCTTTGCTCCACTGTATCTAGGATTATGAGTTATAGGTAGAAGTTGCTTTGGCTTAATGTCATCTGTTGTCACCTAAAGCAGAAACCTGTTTTGATTTATATATATATATTTTTTGAGACGGAATCTTGCTGTCACCCAGGCTGGAGTGCAGTGGCGCGATCTCACCTCGATGCAACCTCTGCCTCACTGCAACCTCTGCCTCCTGGGTTCAAGCAATTCTCCTGCCTCAGCCTCCTAAGTAGTTGGGATTTTTTTTGTACCACACCCGTCTAATTTCTGTTTTTTTATTTTTAATTTTTTTGAGATGGAGTCTCGCCCCGTGGCCTAGGCTGGAGTATAGTGGCTCAATCTCGGCTCACTGCAAGCTCCGCCTCTGGGTTCACGCCAGTGTCCTGCCTCAGCTGGGACTACGACGCCCGCCACCACGCCCAGCTAATTTTTTGTGTTTTTAGTAGAGACGGGATTTCACCAAGTGTTAGCCAGGATGGTCTTGATCTCCTGTCCTCTGCCTCGGCCTCCCAAAGTGCTGGGATTACAGGTGTGAGCCACTGCGCCCGGCCAATTTTTGTATTTTTAATAGAGATGGGGTTTCCCCGTGTTGGCCAGGCTGGTCTCGAACTCCTGACCTCAAGTGATCTGCCTGCCTCAGCTCCCAAAGTGCTAGGATTACAGATATCAGCCACCATACCCGGCCTTGATGTATAATTTTTATGAATCGAAGGTGAGCTGTGGCTAAAACCCAGTGCTGAGTGCTGACAGAGACACCAGGTGAGTAAGATGTGATCCCTGCAGGAGATCACTTTCTGGTAAGGGGTATACTTTTTGGATAAAACCTTGCATAGAAAGGAGGGATAAAAAGCACAGGAATTAAGAAACAAGTTGTGAGTGCAAGGAGCAAGTGACCAGGAAAGATTGTGTGGAAAAGATTTTTTAGGCAGAATATTTAGCTCAGAATTATGCTTTTCTAGAGTTTAACTATAAATGTAATGCAACTCTTTATGAGCGTGCCTCATATTATTGCTGGTAGATAAAAATCAAGAAACAGGAAAGCCATTTCATCTTTACCTTTCTGGTTTGATCGTGCACTAACAAGCCCTAGGAAACACTGCCT